TTAGGAATGGGGTGCAAATATAAAGATCAAGGCAACGCAGAAATGCAGACACCAAGCAGACAAGCAAAATTGAGGGCATGTGCAGCAACCAAGAGTCAAGAGAAGTCAAAGGTCAGAACCTTTTCATGTGGATGAAAGCCAGAGAGGGGGGAAAACTAGTCTGATGATTTAAAAAAAAAGTAAACTTAGCTAGACAAACAAGGGGCTAGAACAACTGTAAGACCTCAGCCACAAAGGACTCTTGATTGAAAGGCATCTTCCATTTTCACCACATGTTATCAGCCAAGATAGGAACCAACTTAATATTGGGCTTATTAAGCCTAATCATAGAAGAAAGTGGGTCCACCCTGCTAGAGTAGATGTGTGAGGTCAGAGATAAGAACAGGTTTAAAATAATCTTGGGGAAGGAGTGGGGGCAAAGAACCTTTTACTTTGTTACATGTCATCGTGTTAAATTCCCTATTCCAAGCAAGAATTTATTTTATAGCATCGCTGATGCGGTTATTCAAATCTCTGCTTGGACATTTCCAGGGATGGTGGGCTCACCACCTTCTAGCCAGACACATCCTTTTGCTGCATTCTAATTGCTGGAATGCTCTTTCTTGTCAGGGCCCAGAATTTTATCTATATGGCTTCTCTCCATTGTCCTGCCCCTGTCTCTGTGAACGCTCAAGAAGACATCTTTTTGTTCTCTCCATGAAAATCTATGAGGTGAAAATATTGAAAAATACCTAAAAAACAAATTCTTCAGAGGTAAAACAAAAACAAACAAACAAGCAAACAAATCAAAAGCATACCAAGAAGAGAACGCTGGGTGGGAAAGATGCCATGCCCAACCATTTTCAATTTCACCCCACCCCAGGGCAAGTTCACCCTCGCAGATACCACTACATACTGTCTCGAGCAATGCTGTGCAGGCTTTGCAGAACCACAAAGACCTAACAGTGCTTTCTTATTCCCATTAGAGAGAGAGAGAGAGAGAGAGAGAGAGAGGAGAAAATAAAAAAGAAAAGTACAAACAAATATCATGAACATATAATCAATGGACACCAGCCACAGATTTGCCTGGCATTTCCTCCCAACCAGGGTGCCTCCTTCTCTGTGCTCTAAGGATGGGGAGGGGAGGCCGCAAGGAAATCACACCTTCCCTTTGAAGGAAGTAGCAGTGTCACATCATGTGTTGGGGGTGTTTTTGTCCCAGTAGGTGGTAGGAATGAAAATGGTAATTACTTGTGCTGAGAAAGGAGAAGAATCAACCATTTTAAAGCACCTTCTATGACCTCTTTTTTTTCTTAAGATGTGTTTTTATTAATTTCACAGAGAGGAAGAGAGAGAGAGAGAGAGAGCGAGAGAGAGAGAGAGAGAGAGAGAGAGAAAGAGGGAATCATCAATTGGGTGTCTTCTGCATGCCCCCTACTGGGGATCAAGCCCGCAACTCTGACATGTGCCCTGACAGGGAATCGAACCATGACCTCTTGGTTCATGGGTCGATGCTTAACCACTGAGCCATACTAGCCCGTTTATGGTCTCTTAATTTGCACAATAACCTAGTAAGGAAGCAGGCATTATGAAATGCCTGCTTTAAGGGTGGGAAAAAAACTGAGGTTCATAGCTAGTATTAATAATAGTAGTAAATATAATTAAAATATAATAAAAATAGAGGTGACATAATTTATTGAGTGACTTCTTTCGTGTATTGTGTTAGTAGTTACATATAGCAGTTGCTTAACATATTCTTTTCATTCACTGAACCAACAGATATTATGTAACTTATAGCCAGCGTGTGGCCAAACTGAAATATAAATGCAATCAAATTTCAGTGTATACAGATTGAAGGCCTATAGATAAACCAGGCATATGCTAAGCACTGCATTTGATTAACAAAATATAATCTCACTTTCAAGGAATTTACCACCCAGTAGCTGAGACCAGCAACTAATAAGCAATTGCAATATTGCATGATGATGTGATGTCATGTCAGTGCGAAAGGCCACGTTTCTTCTCCTCCGACAGTTAGAAACATGCTCATGGTTCCTCAGGCCAGGCTCCAAGGAAGTTTCCTTTTTAAAGTCACTGCACCACTACAGTCCTGCTCACCCTGCTCAGTGTCATCCCAGGAGAGAACAGAGTGGCCATGGAGGTGGCAGCGTGGTACCTGGGAGTGGAAGGCGTGGACTTGGAAGTGGCTGCTTGGCCACGTGCGCGTGCAGGGGCTTCCAGACAGCTGAGCTCTCCCAGGGAACTGCTTGCCAAGGTCTGAGTGAGCCTTTCCATAGGGCACTGGAGAGTTGGCTGGGCCTGGGAGCGGGGTGGGGGCCAGTGGAGGAAACTGGCGTGCTGTGGTTCACAAAGACAGAAACATAAATTTTTTTTATTAAAACAATCTTGAAATTGTTGGCAAGCTCATAAAAAGAATTGGTTAGAGCCGTCTTGGGGCAGCTTTTCTTTGAGTTCAGTTTATTAATGTAGGTTTTTACATGGCTTTTTATTAAGAAACATATGGTACTTTAGGCCATTTAACACCAAGGAAAAAGCTTCATAAAGAAACATTCTGAACACCAATATAATATAAATGTGTACTGCTACATTTTAGAGAAAAGCAAGTTATTGGAGGATTTGTGAACAATTTCTAATGTTCATTGACAAGATATTTTATCTTTATTTAGAAATACATGCACGAAGCCTCTCAGATAGAGAAAGAAGAATCTGGGTAGAAAAGGGTGTGTGTGTTGACGGATGATGGACATTTGAATATATATATATATATTCCTCCCTCCCCCCAAATTATTGACCCTTTGAGGTGTTTTGCTAAAGCAGCTGGGGAGGATATCTTATGTAGCTTGAATTTCGGCAAGATCCCATAAAATGAGATCCTTCAAAAACTATTCCCTACAAAGAAATGCAAGCGGATTAGAACAAGAGCCTTCAGGTTGACCTTATTTGCCCACTTTCTCCCCTCCTTGCTGGGTCCTGGTTCAGAGTGCCAGACTCAGAGGCAAGAGAATTCTCAAAGGAACAGTCCCCAACCTGAACAGAACATCTCCTGGAAATATGCCCCTCTTACCTTCTGTTCTATCTGGGATTCACTACCAATGTCGCAGCTGATACCCATCCTGCCACCCATCCTGGAGGCGGTCATCCAGGAACATATGCCAGAGACTGGAACTATGAACACTAACCCCAAAGACAGCACGCGGCTGATCACGGGCTACTAATTGGAGGGCTGGAGTGGAGGCCAATGGAGTCACAGCCGAACAAGGGTCACTTAGGTGGCAATTTGTGCCAGGAAAGCCCTATATCAGTGGTTCTCAGCTGGGAGAGTTTGTGCCTCTCAAGGGCATTGGCAATATGAGGAGACATTTTTGAATGTCACAACTGAGGGGGGGCGGGGGTGTTACTGGTGTCTAGTGGGAAGAGGTCAAGAATGCTGGTGCCCTAACCAGTTTGGCTCAGTGGATAGAGCGTCAGCCTGCGGACTCAAGGGTCCCAGGTTCGAATCCAGTCAAGGGCATGTACCTTGGTTGTGGGCACATCCTCAGTAGGGAGTGTGCAGGAGGCAGCTGATCGATGTTTCTCTCTCATCAATGTTTCCAACTCTCTATCCCTCTCCCTTCCTCGCTGTAAAAAAAAAAATCAATAAAATATATATATATTTTTAAAATGCTGGTAAATATTCTAGAATGCATAGGATAACCCCGACCACAAAAACTTGCCTAGTCCCAAATGAGGTAACCTGCCCTGAATCAATGCAAGGAGATGCCTGCTGGCTATTGGATTGGTGTACAAGGAAGCAGGGGTGCTGTTTTCATTTTTCTGCTCTATCTAGAGAGTACTAGAAACTCACCTTGAGCACACATGAGAGTCCTAAGGCACTAAGTCAACTCTATTCATCTTGCTGTGGGGATAGGTAGTATAGACTTCTCAGCTACAGGCATCCCTTGTTTTAATACTCTTCTCTTTATTGCGCTTCACAATAAATTGAAGGTTTGTGGCAACTTGTGTCAAACAAGTCTATCACTACCACTTTCCCAACAGCATTTCCTCACTTTGTGTCTCTGTGTCACATTCCGGTAATTCATACAGTATTTCAAGCTTTTAGATTATTATTATATTTGTTGTGATGATCTGTGATCAGTGATCTTTGATGTTATGACTGTGATTGTTTGGGGGTGCCACAAACTGCTCCCATATATGTGACAAACTTAATCAATAAATGTGTGTGTTCTGGCTGCTCCACTGACCAACTGTTCTACCATCTCTCACCCGGTCCTCTGGCCTCGCTATTTCCTGAGACACAAGTATATTAAAATTAGGCCAATTAATAACTCTACACTGGCCACCAAGTGCTCAAATGAAAGGAAGAATTTCATGTCTTACTTTAAATCGATAGCTAGAAATGATTATGCTTAGTGAGGAAGGCATATCAAAAGCCAAGATAGGTTGAAAGGTAGACCTCTTGCCAAACAGTTAGCCAAGTTGTGAATGCGAAGGAAGAGTTCTTGACAGGAATTAAAAAGTGCTACTTGCAGTGAACACACAAATAACAAGAAATCAAAACAGCCTTATTGCTGATACAGAGAAAGTGGTTTGGATAGAGGATCAAACCAACCACAACATTTCCTTAAGTGAAAGCCTAGTTCAGAGAACAAAGCCCCAACTCTCTTTCATTCTAGGAAGGCCGAGAGAGGTGAGGAAGCTGTGGGGGAAAAATTAAAGTGAGCAAAGGTTGGTTCATGAGGTTTACAGAAAGAATTTATCTTCATAAAAATTACAAGGTCAAGTAGCAAGTATTGATGTAAAAGCTACAGCAAGTTATCCAGATCTAGCTAAGATAGTTAATAAAGGTGGCCACCCTAAACAGTAGATTTTCAATGTAGACGTAACAGCCTTATAATGGAATAAGATGCCACCTAGGACTTTTATAGCTAGAGAGAAGTCAATGCCTGACTTGAAAACTTCAAAGGACAGGCTACCTCTTTTGTTAGGGGCTAATGCAGCTGGTGACTTTAAGTTGAAGCCAGTGTTCATTAACCATTCTGAAGATCCTAGGGCTCTTAAAAATTACGCTCAATCTACTACTCAGCCTATGCTCTTTAAGTAGAACAACATCCCAGATGAGTGGAGGACAGGGCCAGGACAGGACCTGGTACAGGACTTCCTCTGGTCAGCTATTGCTCTCCCACAAGTTCAACCATTGTGGCCATAGTACAAGGTGTTCTGTTGCTTCTCTGGTTAACTGGTGGGGTTGGCACTCCTGTCATCAGGGAATAAACATGACCTGGGAAAGAGGAGAGTAAATACTCAGTTTACACCAAGCTCAGATTTTGATTGATATAATCTAGCAATAAAGCTCACAAATATTCATTCAGCTTCTGCTATGAACAAGACACTATCCTGGATCCTGCCCTAAAAAACTCATTCTATAATAGGAGAGACAGACATATCTCCCACTGTATAGAATATAACTATATAATAAAAAACAGATTGTCCTGAGTGCTGTAATAGAGGTACTACAAATCAAGTGTAATGGGGACAATGGGGGGTCAGAAAAGAAATTTTTTCCAACTGGAGGCATGTGGGAAGACCCCAGAGAGAAAGTGACGTTTGTACAGAACAATGAAAGATGGTAGGACTTGGACAGATGGAGAGATTAGCCTGTGCCCAGAGCTAAAAAGTCCATGGGCTGCTTGAGAAGTCACAATTAATGTGGTGTAATTGAAGCAGACAAAACTTTAAGGGGAGCTGTAATGAAGACTAGAAAAGGTATTTAGAATTGAGCACAGAGGACATGAGTACCAAGGTGAGGAGTTTGTATGTTATCTTATCTGTGGCAGCAAACTGTTTGAAGGTATTTGAGCAGGGGAATGATATGAGCAGCTCTTTCCTTCAGAGAACATTTTCTTAGTAGTATGTAAGATAGAATGGAGAGATGGGAGGCTGAGCAACCAGGCAGGGAACTTTCAAAACAATTGACTTTTTTTTTCTCCTTTCTATAGAGACATTGAGGATGAAGCTGGAAGGCTAGGCCATGTTTGAGAAGCTGGCAGAACAGGGTAGCAGGCAAGAGCTGAGGCTCAGGAACTCTGTGCTCACATCCAAATCCTGACTCTGCTGCTTGATAACAGTTTGATCTTGGGCGACTTGCTTAAGACTCTTTGTTTCTCAGTTTTCTCATGTGAAAACTGTGACTAATAAACAGAACAGTCCTTACAAGATTGTTGTTATGAGTTTTGAGGGTGTTACAGACAAACACTTAGGAAAGAAGTAGAACCGATGATTAAATTTTCAGGAATTTTGGAAGCTGGTTGACATCACATTGGTAGCTTGAAATAAGCTGTGGTTGGGATAAGTATTTACACCATGGAAATGGGCAAGTGCTAAAAATCAAAGACGGAGAGTTGGAATCCATCTTTATCTATAAAATGGGGCAATAATGGCACCCCTTTTGCAGGA